AATATTTTTATATCCTCCTCCGCCATAGTATGTATAGGGCATACTATGTTTTTCAACTCATTAAAATAATCCCTGAAATTATAAACCCAACGCAATTAAAACAATACCCTACTTTTGGAACAAATCTTTGAATACCCTCCACCATTTGGAACAAATTTCGTAATTTTCAAAAAAAAAAAAAAAAAAAAAAAAAAAAAAAAAAAAACAAGTAAGCAAAGGCTATAGTCGTCCGGGGCCGACCATGTGATACCCTACAACACTACAACATGTTAGAAGCCCCCTTATGTCCAAATCCATGTTGGAAGATTTCGCTTTTGAAATTATGTTACGGAGCACTGCCCAGATATTACCCTTAGCATTTGACCAAGGACTTTGCCCAATATTTACGCACTCCGTCGTGCTGTTAGTAGTTGTGGTTCATTTTACAGCTAAATGTAATCCAACAGTCATCCAAAATGCTAGAATTCTCCCCTGTCCTTAACTCCCTTTTCAGGCGTGTCGATTGGCTTCAATTGTGTGATCAGGACATTTTTTAGATTTTTGGTTCATTTGAACCCCTAAGTTCTTTTCGATCATCTCCAAGTGCAAGAGGCCCCTCTGTATCTCCAAATTTAGACTCATCTATGTGATTTGCTTGCCTACAATGTTTGGCTATATTCGTCAAAGAAATCAGCATAAAAAGCCAGAAGTTCGCCTTTTTTGTATTTCGATATCATCTGTAAGCAATGTTGGTATTTTTTCACACAAAAGTAGTGGTCCATTCTACCCGCTGTCCTAAACTCTAACTTCATGCGAGATTTCGTGTCTTTTGGTTTCTATATGTGACCTTTATAATGGCTGAAAAATCCGGAACATGTTTATTTGTTGGTCCATTTCAACCCCTAAATATATGGCGGACATATTTAAAAAGAATTGGCCTAGCCTTTCTAAGCCTAACCCTACCCCTATGACAATGTTCATGAGGATCGGACGATAATTGCAATATGAATATAATAACCCTAACCTGTGTTGTAAAGTGAAAAAATTTACAAAATATACACTTCAATATTATGAATCAAAATGAAAAAATCGCATGCGATAAAAAATATGAAAAAATAAAAAAAAATGTCACAAAATACTACAAAATCTATATTAACATCATTAATGGCATTTTTATGCGATATTTTTAGATTTTATACTTTTATGCCAAGAGGACATTCTAAATTGACACAATTTGTCAAAATCGGTCCAGCCATTCTTGAGATATAAGCATTCTAGCTAACATCCCCTTCCTTTGTATATATATATTGTATATATTTCGCTATATACATCTGATATATTTGCTATCGGCAACTACGTAATGATCAGAATTGACCTCTTCGTCTATTTGTGATATCGCAGGGATTAAAAATATCCGCGGTTTAATGGAAAATTTGACTTTTATTTAACACAAATATAATGGTCTGTTTCACCCACTAAATATTACCCGATGACCATCAAAATTGGAAGACTTCTGCCCAGCCCTAAGCTCTAGCCCCATGCTAACTTCCGCGTCGATTGGTCTATATCTGCGACCTGTAGAGCAACTGCAAAATCAGTCTTTTTTTTCAGTTTTTGGTCCATTTCAACCTAAATATTATGCAATCATCTCCAAATGAAATAGGGTTCTATTCTGACCCTAGCCCCACCTCCATTCTAAATTTCGTGAAAATCGGGCCATAATTGCGACCTGTAGAGTGATTACAAATTAACACGGACAGACGGACAGACGGACGGACGGACATACATAGATCAACTCAGCTCGGCGAGATAGGAAGATCCATATATACTTTCCTATGTGGGAAATCAATATTTCGAGGTGTTACATAATTTTTGGCCCAATCAAACTTATAATACCCCCAACACAAAGTGTTGTAGGGTATAAATAATAATTAAACCCGTAAAAATTCTGCTAAAATCTTAAAAATATCGAATGTAGCCGTTATAGTAGTATCTATACGACGACGTGGACCTGCATAGGCAACTTTTGTCATAAGCCATTACAAAATTTAAATGCAAGACTTGAAAAAAAATAGTGAATAATGTAGCTAAAATCATCAAAATGCCGAATATCGGGAGGTACCGTTATATGGGGGCTTTACGAAGACGTAGACCTGCCCAGAAAGTTTTCTGTCATAGGCTGTAGTATCCATTACGAACTTGAAATACCAAATTTGAAACAATTCCGGTGAATAATGCCGCTAAAATCATCAAAATACCCAATATCGGGAGGTACCGTTATATAGGGGCTATACGTAGACCTGCACAGACAATTTTCTGTCTTTAGCTGCAGTATCCATTACGAACTTCAAATACCAAATTTGAAACATTTTCGGTGAATAATGTCTCTTACTTTTGACTTTTATCTTCTGGGAACACTGTTTTAAAAGCTGACACTAATTAATTTGGCGTGTGATAAGGCTGGATTTTTTAAATTTTTGTAAAAAGGCTACGAAAAGTACTAAAATGTATTGAAAATTGAATATTTTGTATTAGAAAAATTAAACCAGCTGGAATTCTGAACTTTGCAATAAGAGTTACTGATGTAGTGCAGGATAGATGTACCAAAGGGTTTTTGGAATTTCGAACTTTAATGTTTGGAAAAATTCTAAAATAGTACTAAACTTCAAAAATTGAACAATTAGGCACTACGTGAAGGGATATAGGTAACAAAAATTGGTATAGGAATAAAGGTTCAAAATAGGTTTAAGATGTGAAGTTGGTTTTGGAAATGTATGCTATGTGTGCAAATTGTACTAAATGGTACTAAATTTGAACCGTTTGTTTTAGAGTTAGAAGCTGGAACTTTGAAATATTGTATTGGGGTCCCCTAGGTTTATGCTTTTGGAAATATGTTCTCCAAGTACACGAAAAGTACTAAATAGTACGATATTTGGTACAATTTGGAATTGGGTGAACAGATAGTGCTTAAAATCTGAAACTTGGTATTAGGCATGCTGTCCAATTGTATGGGGTACGGAAAGTACTTAATGTTACTATATTTGATATTGGGTGAGAGGATAAAGATAAAATTCTGAAATTTGATATTTGGATTATCTATTGTATCTGTGTTTGAGATTTGGTGGTGGTTTGTAAATGAGTCCTATATTTGTTCGTAGAGTACTAAATTTGCTCTTGGGTGAAAGGACAGGGCTGAAAATCGTCAAATTTGATATTGAAGGCCATCTTATTATTTGGAATTGGAATATGATGGTGGTTTTGGAAATGTGTACTACAATTATACGAAAAGTAATAAATAGTACCCAATAAATAGGACTGGGTAAAGAAATAGAACTTAAATTAAGAAATTTAATATGGCTGTCTCCGTTGGTGTCTCTCTTTATGATTTAGAGGTGTTTTGGATATGTGTACTGTTATTGTCCGAAAAGTACTAAGTAGTACTAACTTGGGTATTGGGTGAAGATATAGATCTTAAATACTGAAAAATGATTTTGAGGATTCTCTTGGTATCTGGTATTGAGATCTGGTGGTGGTTTTGTGAATGCGTACTATAATTGTATGAAAAGTACAGTATTTGGTATTGGGTGAAAGAATAGAGCTGAAATCCTGAAATTTGATACGGATGACAAAGTTTGTATCTCTCATTAAGATAAAGAGGTAGTTTTGAAAATATGTACTACTATTATTCGTAAAGTATAAAATGGTACTACATTTGATATTGGGTGAAGGAATAGGGCTGGAATCCTCAATTTTGGTGATTAGAGAATTAATTTTTTTTTTGCTGAACGAACTTTTAATATCCTCCAATTTGGGCACAGAAAACATTTTTATATAAAAGTATCTAAATTCAAACGTGTTCCACTTTAAACTACAAATACCATAAAGACCGTTTGGATAAAGCTGTTAAAAATTTAAAAAAAAAACATAAAGTGGGAGAGACCGTTGTATGGGAGAGTACCCAAAACCGGAACCTCTATTGGCAAATTTATACTTCAAGGATTGTCATTTACCAAATTTTCTTAAATACCAAATGTGAAACAGTTTCGTGGGTAAATGTGACTGGGATTATAAAAATACCGAACATCATGAGGAACAGTTAAATGGGGGCTATACAAAAATGTGGACCTATGCATACAATGTTTCGCCACTGGTGCTAGAATCCATTATAACTTGCAAATACCAATTTTTAAACAAATCCGTGAAAAACTGTGGCGAAAATCATCCAAATATCGAATATCGGGAGGTACCGTTATATGGGGGCTGTACAAAAAAGTGGGCCTACACATACAATGTTCGCCATCGGAGCTAGAAACTATGATGGCCAAGAAATACCAATTTTTGGACAAATCCGTGAAAATATGTGACAAAAATAATCACAATACCGAATATCGGGAAGTACCGTTATATGGCGGCTACTACAAAACGTGGATCGATATATCTCATTTTCAATACCAACCATCCTAGATACAAAGCAAATTGTTCTACCAAATTTTAAAGCTCTACTTCAAATAATGTGGACTGTATCGTGATTTCAACAGAGACAGACAGACGGACATCGTTAAATCGACTTAGAATTTTATGCTGATCATGAATATGTATACTTACGGAACGACAAAGTTAATATAACCTCTTTTTCAAGGTGGAGGATATAAAAATAGACCTATGAAGCAAAAATATTCTACGAAATTATTTTTTTTTTAATTTTCTGGAATTTTTCTACACAGAGTAATAGTTGTTCGGTTGCCTATCATACCATACTGTGCATATTTAGTAGGACCTCCCATAATAAATGTACATTTGTTTTGAAATTTCGTGTATTTATCTTATCCGAGCTTGTTAATCGTTGACCTTTGACACCGAATAACTCCTCACATGGAGCCGATGGGCAATTTTGATGGCGAGCTCTAACTCTCAATTAAAATTTAGCTTTGTGGAATTTTATGAAATTTGACTTCTATTTGGCTGGACCATTAACCCACATGATACTTACCATAAACCAATTTTATGTTAAAGAAAACACATTTCTTACACATTTCTTTCTTAAATTTATTAAAAGTAGTGAAGTTTTTAAAAATCATTAAACATATATTTTTTACATAGAATTACAAAGTTTTTTTTTTTTGGTTTATAAAATATTTACAGTTAACACTTCAGAAGTGGGTATTCTACACACATACATATGTATGTACAAATAGTATAACATATCTATGGATAAATGTTTTGTTTTATTTTTTGTGAAAACACCTAATTTTTAAAAAGAGCCTGTCTAAAATTTAGTTACAAAAAATATAAGTTTCGTTTGGTTGAATAAATTTATGTAATATGGGATTCGGTATAATCCAATATGTGGTACTGTGTGCCATTACTCTTGTGAATTATAAAATAAACCAATTTACCAAAGTTTTCAAACCGTTTTGTTGAGAGCTTTATGACCGCAGCATGTGAACCTATATAAAAATACAGAGATAGATGAACTCACCGGAAAGAAACAATATTTGTACATCATCATGGTACAATAACGGTAGACAGAATAAAAATACATATTAATTAAATGTTTTTTGTTTGATAAAAACTAAAACAATTGTAAATTGCTACTAGATTTTATAATTTTGTACAAAATGTTAATTTCATCTATTTTGAATTTAGCTTTGTGGAAAAACCCCAAAATTCCATTATATTTTTTCTCAATTAAGATTTGTAAATAATTGTAAAATTAACAAAAACAAGTAAAAAAGCTGTAAGTTCGGGTTTTACTTTTTATGCCCTCCACTATTTAGAAGGAATTTGCAAAATTAAAAAAAAAAAAACAAAAAAAGAAAGTTATAAAAATTAGGAGCTTCAAATTGCAAATTTGAAACATTTCCCTTGAAATTGTGACACAAATCAATAAAATACCTAACATTCGGAGGTACAGTTATATGGAGATTATATCAAAACTTAGACCTATGCAGGGATTTTTCTGATAAAATGAGAACATATTCTGTATGCTGTAACATTAAATCTGTAGGTAGAATTATACGGCCAAATTAAAATATCGAAAGTCCTGCAGAACAAACAAATATCTGAATAAAATTCTATCAACCCACTTCATTTCATTCGAAAGCTAGAGTGATTTCCACAGAATGGCAGGCACGGACGTACATCGCTAAATCGATATAGAATTTTATGTTGATCAAGAATATATATACTTCAACGTGTTACAAGCGGAATCAAAAACATAATATACCCTATGGTAGAGAGTATAGAAATCTGCAAATTTAGCACATTTTCCAATTCCAAATTTCTTTATAATTTCAGCATTCAAAATCCAGTTCAAAAATTCGAAGTGGATTTAACGGTACTTGGTTTGTAGCTCAATAGCCCAATGACGTTTGTTAAGAACTTTATATAGTTTCGACCATATATTGCTTGGGATATATTTCATATAATTTGATTGGAGAGGATTTAATTAAAAACAAGTAAAAAAGCTGTAAGTTCGACCGGGCCGAACTTTGAATTCCCTCCGCCATTTGGAAAGAATTTGGCAATTTTCAAAAAAAAAAAATAAATAAATAAATAAATAAAAATAAATAAAATCCGTTAACAATTCTGTTAAAATCTTAAAAATATCAAATGTAGCTGTTATATTTGGGTCTATACGGCGACGTGGACCTGTACAGATAATTTTTTATCATAGGTTATAGTATCCGCTACGAACTTCAAATACCAAATTTGAAACAATTCTGGTGAATAATGTCGCTAAAATCATCTAAATATCGAATATCGTAAGGTACCGTTATATGGGGGCTATACGAAGACGTGGACCTGCATAGACAATTTCTTGTCTTAGGCTGTATTATTCATTACGAACATCAAACGCCAAATTTGAAACAATTCCGGTGAATAATGTCGCTAAAATCAACAAAGTACCGAATGTCGGAAGGTATCGTTATATAGCGGCTATACGAAGACGTGGATCTACACAGACAATTTTTTGTCTTAGGCTGTAGTATCCATTTCGAACTTTAAATATCAAATTTAAAACAATTCCGGTGAAAATATCGCTAAAGTCATCAAAACATCGAATATCCAGAGGTACCGTTATATGGGGGCTATACCAAAACATGGACCTACATGACCTATTTTCAGCACCAAAAGTCCTGCGGACATAATACACATTTGAGTAAAATTTTATCAAGCTAATTTGTTTCGTTCAAAAGCTAGAGTGATTTTCACAGACGGATAGACGGACGGACATCGCTAAAACGACATCGAATTTTATGCTGTTAAAAATATATATACTTTATGGGGTTTATATTTCGATGAGTTACAAACGGAATGACAAACCTAATATACCCTCCATACTATGTATGCTGGAGGGTATAAAGACTACATAACAATTTAATTGAGGATACGGGGTAGTATGTTGCTACCTCGAATTCTCTAATTGCAACCGAAATGCACTCAACTTCAAAAGATTGCATTTCCCTGCACGCTTAGCACTTGCCATGAAATTAATAAATCCGAAGGACAAACCCTTCGTATATGCGGACTAAATTTGGCATGTTCTTGCTTTTTTCATGGTCAGAGTATAAATAAGAATTTACGATAGCTTAGGCCTACCTTGTATTTATTGCGCTATTGTATCTCCCTTATGGCTTAGCATAAGGCTTACAGAATTAGGGAATTTGCTGCCATAAAAAACAAGCTCCCTGGGAATATAAGAGAACGGGACTGATTAACTTCTGTTTAATTTCCAGCTTCCGTCATTCACGGCCGATATGGGTAAAATTTGTGTCAGATTATGCTGTCATTTAATGGTCACTCAACATTAAAACACTGACAACTTGTATACTTAATCCTCACATAACAAGCCAATTTATTCTAGGTCACCCTTCCTTACCTATCGCAATGTGGGGCTATGGAAAATTTTCACAGAAAAAAAAAGAAATTCTAGATTAACTTATGGCAGACATCTAATTGTAGTCTGTATCCCATAAAAAGATGTAACCAATTTGTGGGAGTGATTTCTTATTATACCCTACAACACTATGTATTGGGGGTATTATAAGTTTGATTGGGCCAAAAATTATGTAACACCTCGAAATATTGGTTTCCCACATAGGAAAGTATATATGGATCTTCCTAGCTCGCCGAGCTGAGTCGATCTAGCTATGTATGTCCGTCCGTCCGTCTGTCCGTCTGTCCATGTTAATTTGTAATCACTCTACAGGTCGCAATTATGGCCCGATCTTCACGAAATTTAAAATGTAGGTGGGGTTAATGTCAGAATAGAACCCTATTTCTTTTGGAGATGATCGCCAAATGTTTAGGGATTGAAATGGACCAAATACTGAAAAAATTTCGGATTTTGCAGTAGCTATACAGGTCGCAATTATAGAGCAATCGGAATTTCGCATGTAGCTAGAGTTTAGGGCTGGGAAGAAGCCTACAAATTTGGGTGGTCATCGGATAATATTTAGCGGGTAAAATAGACCATATCTTTTTTGTTGAAAAAATTCAAAAATTTTCATTAAACCGCGAATATTTTAAATCCCGGCGAAATCACAAAGCCATGACAAGGGTACTTCTGACCTTTACATTGATGTTAACATCCAACAAATCGGATATATAGCAAAATATGTGCGATATATATGTCTATCAAAGAAGATATGCTTGAAAGATCTCTTATATGTCGAGAACGGCTGAACTGATTTCGACAGTTCTCATTAATTCAGAATGGCCTCTTGGCAGGAAAGAAAAAACGTCTAAAAAATCGCATAAAAATATCTCTCTAAAGATGAAAATATTGATTTTGTAAAATTTTCTCATATTTTTTCAATTTTGTCATATTTTTGGCATATTTTCATTTTGAATTAAACATTTGGTAATATTTCTACAGCTAACAAAACTAAGTAGTAAGGATATCATATACAGATCGCATTTATGGCCCGATCCTTACGAAATTTTGCATGGGGATAAGACGAGGGTCAGAATAGAAGCCTACTCTTTTTGGAGATGATCGCCATATATTTAGGGGTTGAAATGGACCAAAAAAAAAGTGCAAAATTGTCGGCAGGTCGTAATTATCGCCCGATCCTCACGGACATTTGAAAGGGGGTTACCGGACATTGCAAAAGCCAAGCAGTTTTGGATGGCCATCCAAAAATATTCAATGTGTGAAATAGTTTGCCAACTTTTGTAGACAAAATACGAAAATTTCTATTCCAGAGACTTTTTGGAGAATTCACAAATAAAGGAAAGACGCACTTCTGACTATTTCGTTAACGCTGATTTCGTATAGTCAAATGTCTGTATCTCATATAGATGCGTTTCAGTCAAAAACCAATAATAAATGTTAATCTTTTGCCACTTCTTAGAGGTTATAGGTCGTTGGGAAATATTGGTTCCAGATCTAGGAAGACCATTTACGTGCAACATCTACCAATAAATTGGAAATGAGCAAATTAGTTTAAGTTGCTATTATTCGAAGATTAGTGAACAAAACCTAATGGTTTTATTTTATTATTTGTCACAATACCTTGTGGAATTCTTTCGAGTATCTCGCATATATAAACTGTATCGTTTATTATAGTGTTGTAGGGTATTCAACTGTCGGCCCCGCTCGACTGTAGCCTTTGCTTACTTGTTCAAAAAAAAAATTAACTTTCCCCCCTAGGAGGCTCAACTAATGAGAGTCATAAAAATTCCTAACTACATTCTGAAAAATTAAATATATTATTATTATGAAAAGAGCCCAGGAAATCTGTGGTAATGCGGTTTTTTATTCCATTTCATTGAATATGCCTTTATGGTATAGCTGCTGCTGTTGTTGTTTGTTGTTACTGCTGCCACATGGGCCTTGTTTATGGCTTGTTTTTAAAATCCACAAAATGTTGTGGCTGCTGCAAAATTTCTGTGTGTGTGTTGTTTTTTTTTTTTGCATTAAAACCCGCTTCGTGAGAAGGCCATTCTTTTGCTGGCATTAAAGTAATTTCCTTTGAATTTGATTCAGTTGCTGTTGTTCAAACCCTGATTCCTGTGGCTTAGCAGGCAAAAGCACATTTGGCATATCTGCCAGTATCTGCACATGGGTATCATTTAAAATTTGAGGTTTGCTCTTTTGTTAATATGCTAAAAAGCTCGGATAGGTCAAGACCGCTTTCATGGCAGGATAAAAGACATAAATGTGTTCCAAGTATGGGTGGTTGTGGGTCGCGGGCTGTTTGTTGTCGCTGCTACTGTTGCTACTGCTGTTGATGTTTTATGATTATCTTTAATTTATTTGGTCCTTTTCGTTTTAAAGTTGTTGTTTTTTGGTTTTTCTTAAAGTCATCTGGAGGTTATGTTTGAAACATGCACGCACACCCACATGAAATATATTGTCAGTTCCACTTGAAGAGCTCCCCTGTAAAGGTGCTTTTGTTATAATTTCAATTCCTTTGCCATGAGATGAGTTTACACACATTTCTAACACTATTCCACCCTCCCTCCCCTGTCACCCAATGACGGCATATTTATAAAACATCCTGAGTAATGGCGTAGCCATCATCATCATCATCATCACGAGCATTATCACAATCAGCTTGACTATCTTCGCTTGGCTACACATTCGTAACCTGTGTTGTTTGAAACCATTGGTCAGTACAGGCACTTCGACTGCGATTGTCATGTGCCATCAGACCATTGACCAGCGTACAATTATCCTCCTGCAACGGCATATGCTGGTGGCTGTCGTGCCGGTGATGTTGATGTTTATCCTGTCGGTGACATGAGTTCTTCTCGTTCTGGTGCCTGGAATGGTTTTGGTGATGGCGACGATGGTGTTTGCGATGGGAGAGCAAACACCTGCCCAGACGACGTGGGCAGAAGAGTAAAATGAACGTCTGTCGAAACTGTCGACTCATGGAGCAATAAAGTATGAAATTTATACTGGAATTGAGTAGAGCCAATATGTCCATGAGATCACCTGGAATGGCGGAACAGAAAAAAAAGAAACGAAAGAAAGAAAAACATCAATTAGAATACCAAAGTTATTGCGGGCAATGAGTTCGATTGAAATGATAATTTGAAAAATTGACTGGTGATTGAATAAACACAATAAAGACAGCTACGTTTATTTGAAATGAAAGTGGCGATGATGTTGTTGTTTTGTCAAAGTGAAAAAAAGTGAATTGAATACGGAAATGAAATAAAATGAAATAGGGACAACACCATCTGTATACTAAGTGGTTGGCTTCCATGTGAATCACAAGAGGAACAAATATTGGAATTCTCATAAAAATTTTCAATTCTATGACCTTATGTATTGGAATTTACATTTTAAACGAAAATATTAGCCAGCCAGTTGGTGAGCCCAAAAAAGTATTTGGTTTGGTTCAAACTTGTTTCAAACCATTTATCTAACTTAGCTTAAGTTTAGAGATGAGTAAATTGGTCCTATGATTCTCCTTCTGGCAATAGTTTACAAAATTATTACAATTATATATCACATAGAAAGCGAGGGGAGTAACCGATAACTTTTAAACTTGGCAATATCGCAATATTTTTATTAAGCCCTGGTTGGGTCGGAGATTTGCTAATATCGACCCCCTCTATCTGGCAAGTGATGGAATCATAATTCTTATAAAATGCGAAATTTGAAACTTTATTCCAACTAGGAATAAATAACTTTTCAATGCAAAATGTGCGAAAAATTACCGAAAAGTGACCATATAGAGGGGACCCAGACCTATTGACGCTCACCCGCCTTACATCCTTGAATTGGAGCACAGGTTCTTTTAACAACATCCCGAAAAAAAAAAATTGAAATAACTGCTTGACTGACTATCTGACCGATAATCAACACCCAGACGAAAAGACTGAAGCCAGAATCTTGAAATTTTTCACATGGATCAGTTTTGGTGTAAAGGGTGTTTTTCGTACCAAAAGGCTACGAAAAGTACTAAAGTCTAAAGAAATTTAATACTTTGTATTGGACAAAGGGAATGAAATAGAATTCTTAAATCTGAAATTAGAGTTACTGATGGAATGCAGGATAAATGTACCAGGGGGATTTAAGAAATTCGAAAAGTTCTAAAATTGTACCAAACTTCTAAAATGGTACCATTTGCTACTATGTGAACGGATAGAGATTAAAACTTGAAATTTAATATGAGAATCAAGGTTGGAAGGTAAGTATGTTCTATAAAATTGGCACGAGGGTCAGTCAATAATAAGGCTGGGTTTTTAGAAATTCGTACTAAATGGGTACGAAAAGTATAAAATGTACTCAAAAATTAATACCTTGTATTGGACATACGAAATGGGGTGGACTTTGAAATGAAAGTCAAAAGGATGTTTGGAAATTCGATCTTTAAGGTTTCAAAAAGTTCTAAAATGGTACTAAACTGCTAAAATGATATCATTTGGTAAATCAATTTGGTAAATGGTACTAAATTTTTAATTAGGTGGAAGAATAAGGGTTAAATTTAATTTTGAGGTTTATGTTGATATCTGGGATTGAGATATGAAGATGGTTTTGGAAATGTTTAGTATAATTGTACAAAAAAGTACTAAAGTACTATTTGGTATTGTGCGAAATGATAGAGCCGTAATCCCGAAATTTGGTATTGCGGTCTCAGTTGGAATCGGGGATTGAGGTTTGGAGTTGGTTTTGGAAACTTGTACTAAGTAGTACTAAATTTTGTATTGGGTGAAGGATAAGAGCTGGAATCTTGAAATTGTATTTGGATGTTACTATTGGTGTCTGTAGTTGAGATAAGGAGCTGGTGTTGCAAATACCATAATTGCACGAAAAGTACTAAATGGTACTAAATTGAGTATTGGATGAAGGATAGAGCTTAAATCCCGAAATTTGATATTGAGGTTTCTTTTGCTATATGAGATTAAGATATGGGAAAATATACTCAATGGTATTAAACTTGGTAATGGGAGAAGGGATAGTGCAAGGATCCTGAAATTTGATATAGTTGTCACTGTTGGTGTATGTGGTTAAGGAAAGAACCTGATATGCGTAGTATATTGGTAGTAAATTTTAGTAAATTTGGTTCAGGTTTCTGTAGGCTTCTCGGGTCTATATATGGAGACGTTGAAATCGTTTTGAACAGACAAAATTTGTGGAACTATTGTGCATTTTTCCGGAGGGATTTCATACATGAGAGCTATCTGTATTGATTTCAATTAAATTGGAACAAGGCATTTGCATCCTGTACAGGGTGTGATGAAAAAACCACCTTGTGTGACCACCTTGTGGTGTAGGGTATAAAAATGAGCTTGGCGTAAAGCCATTTAAACACAGAAAGAAAATAGACTCAAAAGAGCTAGAGAATTGCTTCGCTTGACCGAAAGTGGTGAACTGCCGAATTTGGTTTTCTCCGATGAGAAGATATTCGTTGTAGCCAGTTTGTAAACAAACAAAATGATCGTGTTTACTTGCCAAAGAGGTCAGCTGAAAATGTGCTCCTTCGGTTGGCCACCAGGACTCAAGCGTCAACCATGATGATGATGTGGGCCGCCATAACAGCCGATGATCGCTCTCCGCACGCATTAATCGATCGTGACATCAAAATAAATGTCGAATATTATTGCGAAAATATTCTGGAGGGTGTATTAAAGCCTTGGGCACGCAAACATTTTGGGCGGAGAACTTGGACATTGCATAGGACTCAGCGCACAATGGCCACGAAAATCTCCGGATACCAATCCGTTGGACTATTGTGTTTGGAGTATTTTGGAAAGCAAGGTTGTCACTAAAAAATACCAAAGTGTCGATTACATCTAGCAAGCGCTTCGCCGGGAATAGACTAAAATACCGCAGAGCAAAATTCGGGCAGCGTGTGACGGTCTCACTGGCCGTTTGAAGGCCATAATTCGTGCCAAAGATGACAAATTCGAACAAATCAAAACTTATTCTAAAATTTGATGCTATTTCTGATATTTTTTGTTTTCATTCAATAAAATTAAAAAAAAAATCAAAGTTATGGAGTTTGACTTTGTTGCAGTTTTTTTTTTTATCTCAGCCTGTATATCACCTCTAACACCAGATTTATGGCTCACTGTTGTTATTTTTTGAAAATATTTTACCTTTTGTTGGGAGGTACCAGAAAGAGTGGACCTTTATTATCCATCTCAGAACTCGACCCGAGTTTGATAATAATATTTTGGTGTACCAAGTTTGGACAACATCGGTTAATCCGTTTAAAAGTTATTGAGCTACCAGGCAGAGAGACGGACGGACTTCCCACTCCACTCCACTCCACTCCACTCCACTCCACTCCACTCCACTCCAATGAGACTTAGAGTCTAAAATCGTTATTTCGATGAGGCTCATTTTTTAACAAGTATTTAAACATTATGTGGTCTTATTGAATATTTTGAGCATAAGATAAGTCCGATCTTATGGTAATAAAACTGTTTAACATTTGGATTACTATTTGTTCAAAAAATTATTGGCAAAACATGTTTCTCACATTTTCCCTTATTATTCAACAAAATTAGTCCATTCTTGTATAAAACAGGTGATACGAACAGTCAATTAAAAAACTGAATATTTTACGCCATGCATATTTGAACGGTTGGTAAGACATACCAACATATTTATGTTGCCATAAAATTTAACTGAATATGAAAAAAAAGAAAATATTGATTCAATTATAATCCAGTAAATGAACGCACATTCCAACGTATGTAGATGTGTGTGTGTGTGTGTACTCTATACATAACTCAATATACACCTTCGTTTATTTACGATATCAGCCTGTTGCAAGTAACAAGTCAATATTTTATTCATACATTCGTTGGTACAATGTAATAAACTGGTATTTCATATGAATTACAAAAGAAAGATCCACATATTCGATCTAGCAATTCGATTCGGTCAACAGAACATAAAACAACACAGCACAGCACACATCAATATTCGATATTCAATTATGCACATATTTAAAAGAATTAATTGTTTACCTTTGTGATGGACACCTACACAGGCTCAACCATTCATATCGATGCCTTGCTTTTGTTTCCGAAGAGTGGCTAATTGAAACATTTTCACGTTGGCGAAAGAAATTCGATTTTTATTGACTTCAGTGAAATGCCCCGGCCAAAATAAAAATATTATCCGCATTAAAGTTCGTTTAACGTATTCATGGAAGTCAATTTAATAATTAATGTGCATTCAATTAAATTATGGATGGACGGGAATTTTTCGAAACAAATTGAATTATTTTCAATATGCTTTTTTTAATTTTGGGCGTTACTTGATTGGTAAATACAGAGGTTGTGATTTTATCTGGGAAAATATTTGGAAGTATTTGAATGCGCAGTTTGTTGTAACATGACAAAGTTCCAGGACATATCTTATCGACTAAAGCTACATACAGGGTGAGATGAAAAAACTGTAACCAACTGCAGACTGCTGTCATTTCTAAGCCACTCGTCCGACAGCTGTTAAAATTCCAGTTACAGCTCAGTATATAGTTTACAAGCGTACAAAAGCATTTTGGTGAGAATTTTCCGGAAAATGTTATTCATGATGGAATTCAAACGTGATAGTGTGAATTTTTTATATTTGGCAGGATAACCCACAAGTGGCTATCGTTAGAGCACTCCAGCATTTAAATGTGAATAAATATTTTGGGTCTCGTACCATCGTCAAGGAAGTGGATGGAGACGGAAGAAAACACCAACATAAGAAGAAATCGTTTGAAAAGGAAAGAAGCGACTTGATCGAAACCCGCTGTGGTCGAAAAATGGCTCGTGAGCTGAACATATCACAATTTCATTTGGCAAATATTGAGAAATGAGCTCGGAATTCCAAAAAAAAAACTTACATCGCAAAAGAAAGACAAGTAAAAAAGTTGTAAGTTCGGACGGGCCGAACTTTGAATACCCTCCATCTTAAAATCTTAAAAATATCGAATGTAGCCGTATATTAGGGTCTATACGACAACGTGGACCTGCATAGGCAAC